TAAACAGAAATCTTGTAAGTTAAGAATGTCTAGCTCATTACGTATGTATATAAATATGCTAGTGTTTCCACATTAGGTATAGTATATTACCTTATCTTTAGTTTGTCCGTTCATGTCCTTATTGATAATGGTACGTGCAAGGATTGCTAAGGCGGCATTGCAGTGCTTCAGATTAACTTGCACTATTCTAAGCATCAAGGTTCTTCTTTTATCTATGCACTTTGAAGATTGCCTGGTTTTAGTTTAAGTACTGTTTTAACTGCAGGTTTTCTAAAGACTTCAGAGAGCCGTCGCCAATCAATAGAACAATGGTTTGACCTTTGACCGTTGTCTCTCACTTGCCTAAGAACAACTTGTCACTGTTTCAGACGAAGTCAATTCACCTGAAATTTCTTCGCTTTTCCTTGTCTCTGTTTGTCATTTTTTAAGGGATTCTTCTTCTAGTATTTCCCTTCATTTTGTTAACCGACTTTAAAAAAGGAGGAGGTTATCAATTCGTCGCGATATTTTTTTTTTTTTAATGTATGTTCATCGATTATTCTTTAACACGGTGTCCGATTTCAATGATTCTTTTTTTGTTAGAAAGGGGGTACTGCAGGGGTGGTCCCATATAAATTTAGTCAAAATATAATAATTGGGTCCATGAGAAAATCCTCAAACTCTTCATTTTTTATGTATGTTTAGCGATAATGCTTTACCACCTTGTCCGATTTATATGATTCTTTTTTTGTTAGAAAGGGGCTACTTCAGGGGTGGTCCCATATAAATTTGGTCAAAATCTAAAAGTTGGGTCCATGAGAAAATCCTCAAACTCTTCATTTTTATGTATGTTTAGCGATAATGCTTTACCACCTTGTCCGATTTATATGATTCTTTTTTTGTTAGAAAGGGGCTACTTCAGGGGTGGTCCCATATAAATTTGGTCAAAATCTAAAAGTTGGGTCCATGAGAAAATCCTCAAACTCTTCATTTTTATGTATGTTTAGCGATAATGCTTTACCACCTTGTCCGATTTATATGCTTCTTTTTTTGTTAGTAAGGGGGTACCTCAGGGGTGATCCCATATAAATTTGGTTAAGATGTGGTGATGACATCTGCACGTTTTTGAAGTTGGTTTTTTTTTATTTTTAATTTACACTTGTTGTATGTTTTAATCCATATTCATCCTACAAGTAGTAAGAAAAGTAAATGTCCATCCTGTCAGAGCCAGTGTTGCCAGAATATATTTTTGTAATGTACCAGATTTATCTAAAAAATGTACCAGATTTCATAAAAATGTACTAGATTCTATAAAATTACCAGATTTTTCTAATTATGAAGTATGGTCATTAAAGAGCAAAAAAAGGTTTATAGATAACACGAACACAACAATTTTAAACCTCTCGATAAATTTCTGACAATAGGTTTGTTCCCGAAGCGAGTTCCTAACATATTGAGTATGCGCAGTAAAAAATAACTGTTCCAGCATAGCTAAGTTCCAAACAAATTGAACTTGTTTGGCATTTCCGCAAGATTAAAAACTTGTTCATAACGTGTTTGTAACTAGTTTTAGTAGTTCCTAAATAAAATACGAACTTTTACTTTCGCGCATGCGTGCTTATTTAAAATAATTTTTCTTTTCTTCCTTTGTTTTTAATTGGATTTTAAGTTAGTTTTGTGAGTGCCTATTATCTTTAATTTTGATTAAAATCTTATATAGCGTTGTAACAGCAAAAAATATAATAAGGAGGGTAGTTTTTGTTTGTGCGATTTTGAATTGATCATAAAGTACATCCTCATTATCTTCTTTTCTTAAAAAATATAATCGAATGATCTATATTTAGTTAAAACAGCAACATTATTTTTTTTAACGTTCCAGCACACATTTATTTAGAACTCATTCCGAACATTATTCCGCTCACGCATGCATATCAGATAATGTTTGTAACAAGTTTGGAACTCGCTTCGGGAACAAACCTACTATTTTATCTCTCGACCAGTTTTTGAATAAGATTTTAATACCTTTTGATACTCTTTTATCTTAAACAGTTTTTAAATTTTTTTTATCTCTTGAGCTATTTTGAAACAATATTTTATCTCTCGATAAATTTCTAACAATATTCTATCTTTCGAGCAATTTTTAACAACTTTTTTTTATCCCTCGAGCAATGTTTGTACAATTTTTAACAGCCTTTTTTACCTTTCAAGCTATACTTGAACAATATTTGATCTCTCGTGCAATTTTTGAGCAAAATTTTAACAATTTCTAACACTAATTCATCTCTCGAGCAATTTTTAAAAAAGATTTTAATACCTTTTGATATTATTTTATCTCTCGAACAGTTTTTAAATCTTTTTTTATCTCTTGGGCTATTTTTAAACAATATTTTATTTCTCAATAAATTTCTAACAGTATTCTATCTCTCGAGCAATTTTTAACAACTTTTTTTATCTCGAGCAATGTTTGTACAATTTTTAACACTATTTAATCACTTGAACAATTTTTAAAAGCCTTTTTTTTACCTTTCAAACCTTTTTTTACCTTTCAAGCCATTTTTGAACAATACTTGATGTCTCGTGCAATTTTTGAGCAACATTTTAACAATTTCTAACACTATTCTATCTCTCGAACAATTTTTGAAAAAGATTTTAATACCTTTTGATATTATTTTATCTCTCGAACAGTTTTTAAATCTTTTTTTATCTCTTGAGCTATTTTTAAACAATATTTTATCTCTCAATAAATTTCTAACAGTATTCTATCTCTCGAGCAATTTTTACCAACTTTTTTTATCCCTCGAGCAATGTTTGTACAATTTTTAACACTAATCACTAGAGCAAGCTATTTTTGAACACTATTTTATCTCTCGAGCAATTTTTATTAACATTTTTTATCTTTTTAACAATTTTTAAACAATGTTTTATCTTTCGAGAAATGTTTAACAGTATTTTTTAATTCTCGAGTAATTTTTGAATAAGATTTTAATAACTTATAATACTATTTTATCTCTCGAACTATTTTATCTCTCAAATAGTTTTTAAACTTTTTTTTATCTCTTGAGCTATATTTAAACAATATTTTATCTTTCGATAAATTTATAACATTATTCTATCTCTCGAGCAATTTTTAACAACTTTTTTATCTCTTTAGCAAACTGCACAATATTTTAACTCTAGACAAATTTATAAAAATATTTTAACTCTCGATAAATTTTTAACATTGTTTTTTATCTCGAGCAATGTGTACAATATTTTATCTCTTGAGCATGTTCTAATAGTATTTTATCGTTCGAGGAATTTTTAAACAATATTTTATCCCTCATTAAATTTCTAATAGTATTTTTATCCCTAGAGAAATTTTTGAACAATACTTTACCCTTCAAGCAATTTCTAATACTATTTTATACTTCGGCCAATTTTTTACCTCTCAAGCCATTTTTGAACAATATTTGATCTCGTGCAATTTTTAAACAATGTTTAATCTCTCGAGAAATGTCTACTATTTTATCTCTGAAGTAATTTTTAACAACTATTTTGATTTCTCTTGCAATTTTTGACCAATATATTTTACACTTCAAATGGAAACATACCTACGCTGAAAAAGTACTAGATTTTGTTTCGAGTGTACTAGAGTACCAGATTCTCAGAGAATGTACTAGATCTAGTACAATTGTACTAGACTGGCAACACTGGTCAGAGCCCTTCGTGACCGGGTTTCGTCAAGTGCCCCCAGAGGAACGTTCATCACCGCTTTTCCAGCCGTCTAACAACTTTGTTGTTATATAATTTTTTATAATACTCGATTTACACATAATTTCTGTAAAAAGGACCGTATTCGAGATATTTGAGAAAATGTGTAAAATTCGAATTTTAAAGAAAACTCAAAAACTGATTAAGAGAAAAACACCAAATTTAAAACTTAAGCTGTATTTTGGCCTGTGGTGAACTGATTAGAGTTTTGGCAGAGTCGGACCATCTGGGGGGTATTTTATAAGAGGTCGTTCTTATATTTTATGGAATATATCCCTTACTTACATTTGGAGATCATTCTTTAAATAAAAGTTACTTCTAATATTATTCTCTATAATTTTTGTATTTTCAAAATTTTTCTAAAATTCGACAAATTTTACAAAATGTAAATAATTCAAATTTTTAAGAAAATTGTTAAAGTTGTTTGCGATATCAATTTCTATTATTGCTGTTTTGTACATGATTTTCTAAAATGGACCGTAATGAAAAAATTTGAGGAAACGTGTAAAATTTAAATTTTTCAGTATTTTCCTCGGCAACGAATATATATTAAGCCCTGGGGCTCTGCGAAAATTAAAGAAGTACTATGAGGAGGTTCGCCACAAAAGGGAGGACCTGTTTTTTTTTAATTTTTTAAAAATGCCCTAGGGTTGCTTAATAAAAAAAAACCTCTCTAAACCAATATAAGGTTTAAAAGATATATTTTTATTATTTTAGGGCTCCGTCTAATATTTCGCTTTTCAATAGGGTTTCGTGTCAAATAAAGTTTGCTTCTCTAACAATGGGCCGAGTGAATAAAAACTTAGCTTCTGCTTTTGGTATGAAGTATAAGCTTTAGCTTTTACTAGGTAGATTTAGCGTTTGCTAATAGCATTTGCTGAAAATGAAGTGAATAACCTTTTGCTTTTACTTACTAGCAAAAGCTAGATATTTTAAGTATTTACTTAAAGTTCTTATTTGGTAAATCATCCAATAAAAATGTTTTTATACTGATAAGGCCTATATTTATATTTTTATGACTAATCAGTCGGCCGTGAAATTCTGTGGAACTGCAGGCTCAGACCTGTCGATAGACTGTATGTGTATGGACAAATTTTAACTGCCGATGTGCAAATCGACAAAGGCAAATATCGAGCACATGAATAATTTTTAAACCAGTATCAACGGGTGCTAACGGTTTACGTTCAAAATGAGTAGTGATTCAGAAAATTCCACAAGTGATTTTTTTGACGGAGGAAGTTCCTGCAAAAATTTCGTCCATCCTGAAATTAATGGAAATTTTGGAAAGCTATAATATTATATTTAATAAATCGCAAGTTCCTAAAATAAAAGAGAAAAAAGAACAAGCATACAAAGATATCCACCAAAAATATATTTTGCAAATTGGAAGGGATTTAACTGAAAAACAACTAAAAAAGAAAATCCAAAATATAAAGACCGAGTTGAAGAAAAAGACGGACAAAACTGCAACGGGAAATAAGAAAATTGTTTTAAACGCGTGGGAAAAACAACTTTTGGTGCTAATGGAAAGACAAGAAAACCCTGTTTTTCAAAAAGTACCAGGTAGGTAATAAAGTATGGCTAGAAAAACAAATAAATGGTATGAAGATGTAAAAGCAAAATTAAGTATTTTTTCGCCGAATAGTATAAATTACTGTTTTGCTGCTATTTGATCCAAAAAATTATTTGAGGAGCAATGTCGATAGGATCTGTGATGGAACAACCTCAGCCATCAACGTCCAAAACTGAAGAATTTATTCCAACTCCACCTCATGTTCGGCCTTTACCTGATAAGTCTCCAGTTACCAGAAGAACCAAATTTAAGGAAACAGACGAAACCTCAAATTTGTCCAATACAGAGCTCCAACTACTGGTATTGTTGGAACAGCTGGAACTAATAAGGGTTCAAAAGGAAAAGGAAAAAATATTGTTGGAAAAAATACAGAAAGAAAATGGAAACCAATTTGAAGAAATAGATAATTTGTTGTTCAGAAAGTTGTAAGTAAATGAATAAATTGTTTTCGTTGTTAACGTTTTTTTTTTTAATAAATTAATGAATTTAACTCAGATTAAGGTATCTACTTACATTTAAATTTAACTTAAAAAGTAATTCAAAATAATAAAAACCATAAAATATAACATTATACAGTGTGGCCCATTGAAAACTTTCTAGAAGGCATAACTGCCTGAAAAAGTTGTCGAAAAATCCTCATTCAAGTATCTTGTTTATTTAACTTATTACGTATTAATATTCATGTAGTCTTTTGATATTATATGGTATCGTACTGTAGAGTGTAAAAAATCCATTAATTTTAGTTTGTATTATATTTCAAATATCCACATTTAATTTCTAAATAAAATAATTCTTTTCCTATTGTACACTTGACCTTTTGCACCCCAAAACCCGTAGACAGCGACAAAAACCCTACAGTACTTAGTAGTACATTTAAAACTGCAATTGAAAAATTATATTTTTTATTTCTTCTCGTCTCTGTTGACCACGCTGACGGTCGTTATTCAGCTCATCATTATCTTCCACAACTTCTTCACCATTCTGATCCTCGGCGGCTACTTCTTCTTCGTCATTTGGTAATTGATCATTTAAATACTTAGCAACATTATGCAGAACCACAGCGCTGACGAATACTGACGGAATTTTGTCAATGTTCAATCGTATCTGATGTTGCAAAACAGGGAATCGACGTTTTAGTTGACCGAAACAGCGTTCTATAATAACGTGCTCTCTTTTATGTAAATTATTATACGCTATTTCTGGAGGTGTGGTCGGGTTTCTATACGGTGTTAATAGCCATGGCGTTACGCCTAAAATAAGTCCATAGTTCTGTTGACGTCTTCTCATCATACCAAAAATATTTGATCTTCTTAAAATACGACTGTCGTGCACCGAGCCAGGCCATTGAGCATCTACGGATGTAAAAATTTCTTTTTCGTCACAAGTTGCTTGCACATTTATACTACACCAGCCTCTCCTATTGATATACTCGTCACCATGTAGCGATGGCTTTATTATTGGTACATGAGTGCAATCAATTGCACCAAAAGCACAGGGAAATCTATACAACTGTGCCCATTCGTTGATTGCCTGGTCAGTCGAGTTTTCTATAGGAAATTTAATCCAAATTCCTGCCGTTTCAACTATTTTTGGTAAAACGTGAGATATCGTTTTACATATTGTTGTTCTATGAACTCCTTCTTCTTTTCTGATCCCTATTTGAAATCCAGGATCACTTAGAAATCGCAAACTATTTGCATTTGTTTTTCTGGACTCAATGCACCACCTCTAGTCTCCACTTTTGGCTCCAAAAAATGGTTAGCTATCCACTCATCATTTTCTTCACTAAATTTATACAGACCGTGGTATTCTTCGGCACGATTTTTCTTTCGGGATAAAATTTTACAGATCTTATATTCATAAATGCAGCCATTTCTGCCAAACTGTTTAACAATACTAAATTTTTAAGCCAGGGTCTAACAAGCTTGCAAAAATGTAAGCTTTTCCTTAATATTCTTGGTAATTGCTTCCTTTTATTCACACCATTATTAGACAATGCTAAAAACTTTAGCTTTTGCTAATTGTATTTTTAGTAAAAGCTACTACTTATTTTTATTCACTGCAAACTAAGAATTTGCTAGGAAAATGTAAGTTTTAGCTTTTACTGAATTTTTATTCACACTGCCCAATTACAACAGAGGTGATACAAAATAACCAGAAAAAGCCTCTAATAACTAGATAAGAAAGTCATGTGTTGGACCCATCAGATTCATGTAATTGTATAAATAAATGTTCATATATAAAAAAAAACAAATAAATTTAATTAATTTAAAATAAAAATAAATGATAAAACAGTTGTTTAAACAGATAAATTATAAAGAAGGCATTAAAAAGAGTACGACATAAATTACCTTCGAATATAGTCATCTGCGGTTATGAATACTCGTATCAAGAAAATATCAAGGAGCATTACAAACGAATTACTGTAGTAGTGATTCCGGTTTTAAGTAGATGATTTTAAGAAACTGAAGATTACCGCTTTAGTGCATTGTTGCCGTTGTCGTTGTCGAACTATCATTGAATATTCAGTCTTGAAAAGAGGCATTATTTTTTTTTCTCCGATTCTCGTACTATTACAACAAATTTAAATAAAAATAAATGTAATAAAATAATTAATTCGGTTAAACAAAAATTTATTATTTAATTAAAAATTATTAATAGCGTAAATCCATATTGATTCCTAGATTCAAACTAGTTTTAAAATGCCGATTAATAATTTGAGGTGGCAACCACGCTAATGCGCTTGGATTAGCTAATGTCTGATTGATATATTCATTATGTTGAGCTGTGATGAATGAATTATGAACTCTCTCTTTTCATTAACTACAACTAGTTACCTGCCAGCCTAACAACATATATCAGGTTATCATCAAATTAAGGTATAGTGATTTGATTATGGAATCATTTAAATTATTTTAATTTATGTTTATAGAAAATGCTTTTCCTATGTTTATTTATAAAATTCGAGAGATGCTAAATTGGTGGCTCCCACGTTATTGAGACTGGGGACCCAAGAGCAAGCTCGTGCCATAGAAAAAAAATTAAGAATCGATTTGGTTTTGATGTCAAGATCGAAAGACATTTAAGACTTGAATTTTACGGTTTGTAAAGCACTAACGTTAATAAAGCTAAATCGCGTAGGTGATCTTTATATTGCTAGCCCTGCTTTTTAAGAATCATTCCATGTCTTCTTTTGATAAGTTAAAATATTTAGCCACTTTTTCTCTTAAGTCTATACATGTAAACATATTTGGTACTTTAATTTCTTACGACTGTGTTATAATATTTGCCCTATTTACACCTTAAGCTTGTCTATGTAAAAATAACTGGTCCCTTTATCCCTTAAGTCTCACTTATCGAAATATTTTGTTTGTTCCTTTACCACTTACGCCTGTCTAAATAAAAATATGTAGATAGGCCATTTAACCCTTAAGCATGTCTCTGTGAAATATATCAAACAGTAGAAACTTGTGAGGTATATAGACTAAAACACAATGAGTGTAATATAGTGCCCTGAGGTGCGCCAGAAGTGACCTTCAGTAAAGAAGAATAAATATTGTTACGCAGCACCCTGTAGCGTGCTGCGGTTGTCATAAGTAAAGGTACGAGTAAATAAAGAAGATAGAATAATCCAGAAATGTCTCGAAATGTCATTCCTTGTCAAAGAAAAGTCCGGATTGTTCGAGAAGGGTCAAGCAAGCTATATAAGGATGATCCTGACGTCAGAGTTCAGTTTTATGATAGACGTTATCCGTTAAAGTTATCAGTTGTGTAATTATTGTTAAAGTTGAGTTAAAATAAAATGAGATACCAAAAACCTGTGTAACATTGGTGACAGCGGTGGGATACAAAGTAAAAGTTTATGGTAAATACTAGATCCACTGAGTACGAAACAGGCATGGATACTTCAGGCCCACCAGCATGGTTTTTGAAGATGGAACAGGAAAAGGAAAGGCGTAGGAAGAAAGAAGAGGAGGAAAAGGAAAGGTGTAGGAAGGAAAAAGAGGAGGAAAAGGAAAGGCGAGGAAGGAAGAAGAGGAGGAAAAGGGAAAGCGTAGGAAGGAAGAAGAGGAGGAAAAGGAAAGGCGAGAAGAGGAGAAGGAAAGACGCAGGATGGATGAAGAAAAAGAGAAGGACGAGAGGCGTAGAAAAACTGAGGTAGAAATTATAAATGCTTTGCTACAAATCCAGGAAACCTTTAAGCAAGCGGTTGGTCAGCTTAAAATTAGAGTAGGTTTGTTAGAGCATTTAAAAACTAATGTAGAACAGCAGCAAGAGCGTTGAAACACTAAATTAGAACAACAACGAGATAATTTAAAACAACAGGTAAAGGCTAGAGTACAGTTCGAAAGGCAAATTAGAACTAAGCTAGTTGAGTTAGAAAGAAAAATTCGTAGCCTAGCTTCGATAAGCAACAGAGAAGCTGAAAACACTACCTCGTCCTCATCTGTAATCGAACCAAGCCACATTCAACACCCAGTTTCACAATTCCATTCTAGCAATATCATTAAGCCACCCACGTTTGACAATCAGACAACATGGGAAACGTATCGCCTCCAATTTGAAGCTGCAGCTAGAGCCAATGGCTGGACTGAAAAGAACAAGGCGGGTGCATTGATAGTGTCGCTGCGAGGACAAGCAGCAACCGTTTTACAGTTACTCCCTCAAGAAGAATCCAGTTATTCATCTCTCGTCCAAGCCTTGGAGACAAGATATGGCCAGTAGCATTTGAAACGGGTATTTCAAAGCCAGCTAAAGATTCGTAGTCAGAAACATAATGAGAGTCTACAAGAATTCGGGGCTGACATAAGAAGATTGATTCATCTGGCCTATCCACAGGCACCCAAAGATTTCCAGGAACAAATCGGAATAGAGGCGTTCATTTATGGACTACAAGATGAGGAAATGCAGCAAGTCCTTCGTCTATAACATCACAAGACGCTGAAGGAGAAACTGATTGCAGCCCAGGAATATGAAGCGGTAAAACTCATATCCAGATCTTCACGCGCAAAAATGAGAGAAATTAAATCCCAGGAAAGTGAGGACCCCAATGCTAATGCTAGTCCCCAACCTACCCTCTCGCAAATATTAAATATCCTGCAAAATATACAACGAAATAGTCAGAATAAGAACAGAAGATGCTTCAATTGCAGAAGAACCGGGCACCTTCAAAGAACCTGTAGAAGGAGAGCTCGTTCTATAAATAGAGAATCAGGGAATGAGGCTGGAAAGTCACAAAGATCAATCTTCCGAAGTCCAACAAGAAATAGTCACAGCAGCTATGCGTCCCGAAGTAGCCAATCACCCACACCGAGCCGGTTTTCTAGCAATAACCAGGAAGTAGAGCATCGTAGAGGCCATCTGTATAGCAACGCAGACATTTTCTCCAGGCGACCCTGTTAAGAACGAGAATGCCAGTACAGTA